CCTCTTCATAGAGCAGTAATTAAGGAAAATTCCACTACAAGAGTAATGACCTGTTTTTTGACGGATCAGTTAGAGAAAAGAATTCGCCTTCTATCAACGATTGTTTAGAAAAGGGACTCAAACACTGTCGAACTCATTCCGTTTCTATCATGAATAGATTTCGATTTAAGAAAATAGCGCTGTTGCAGACATTCGTAGAGCATTTTTGCAGATTGGTCTGAGGAATCTTCGATAGACCCATTCAAAATTTTATGGTGGAGTGAAGGGGATCCCAGCTAAACCTAAAGTTTTTCAGCATCGGAGGGTTGTTTTCGGGCTTTCTTGTTCTCCTTATCTATTGGGAGCAACAATTCGATTTCATCTGCAGAACGTTCCTCACAATTTTGAAAAAACAGCAACTCTGTTGTTAGAATCATTTTACGTAGATAACTGTGTTACCAGTGTGGACGACCATGAAGAACTTGAGAAATTTGTCGAGGTCCAAAACAATCCTTAGCACCAAGCAATTTGAACTTCTGTAAGGTGGGAGTACTGTGCTACAGTGACCCAGAATTCCATGACCTTTTACCACCAGAAGGAAAAGCATTTTGAAATTCTGGGGCTTAGGTGGCATTTAACGACTGATTCCTCTTACGATAGATTTACGAGATTGTGTTGAAGACGATACACCTGTGACAAAAAGGAAAATTTTGTCAACCGTCCATAAGATTTTTGACCCTCTTGGTTTCACTTGTCCTGTTACGTTGGGTCCAAAGGTCCTCCTTCAAGAATGCTGGAAATTAAAAGTGTCATGGGACACAGAACTCCCCGCCTCCATTAGTAAAAAATTTGAAAGATGGCGAAAAGAACTGTCTAAGCTAAATAAAATAGAAATTCCACGATGTCTTATTCCCGGAAGGAATGCACCGGGAAATTTAACATTTCACGTTTTCTGCGATGCGAGTAAGATAGCATATGCTGCTTGTGTATTTTTAAGATGCGAGAGTGAAAATTCAACGACCTGTCAACTTATACAGGCAAGATGCAGAGTTGCTCCAATGAAGTCTCTGTCCATTCCGAGACTGGAACTCCTTGCATGCAGTATCGGAGCTAGATTATCCCAGAGTGTTAGTAGTGATATGAAACTGGAAAATTTGCCTAAAATTTTTTGGTCAGACTCGCGGCAGATGCTTTATATTGGATCAAAGGAACGGAAACCTGGGCTCCCTTTGTTTATAACAGAGTCAAAGAAATTCGTTCGTTGACAAACACTGAAGACTGGTACCACGTTCCGGGACCATTGAATGCAGCTGACCTTCCTTCTCGTGGTTGCAGTGTTGAAACTCTAGCGATGTCAAGATGGTGGGAAGGTATGATTGGTTAAAAAGACCTCCAGAAGAATGGCCGAAGTCTAACGTAACTCCTGATTTTGATATTATAAATTCTGAAAAAAGGAAGACTGTCATCAGCGCTGCTAACCATGAGGGAGCCTCTGAGGAAAAATATTATAACCGATTTTCCTCGTACGACAGACTTCTAAGAGTTACTGCATGGATGTATCGATTTTTTACTAACTGTAAAATTGAAAAGAGTAAATCGAATTATTGGAGTTTTGATTAATTGAAGAGATGAATAGGGCAGAAATCGCCGTATTGAAAATTGTACAGAAAGAATCCTTTTCAGGAACTAATGATAAACGTTTAAAGGCAATTCAGTGTTACGTTGATCCAAACGGTATTCTGAAAGTAAAGACTGAATTTTAATGAGAAAAGATACAAGAGATTTTCTTATATCCGACAATATTGCTACCTTTCGAGGCATCCAGTTGTAGAAAATTATTCGAACCAGACATGAAAATTAAACCATGCTGGAATTCAAATTGTGATGTGCAATTTAAGAGAAGAATCTGGATTCTGTAAATATCGGAAAACTGTAAGAAATGTAATTATAACCTGTGTGCGATGTAGACGATTTAATTTGAGACCTAAACCTATCGTCGAAGCACCTCTTCCTGAAGATCGCGTAAAAAAGAGGTCGCAGTTTTCGAAGTCGTAGGAATAGATTACGCAGGTCCATTGGATTTTAAGTGATAGTAAGAAAGTTTGATTGTTATATTTACATGCGCTTACAGAGCTATCCATTTAGAGTTAGTCACATCTTCATCTACAGAAAACTTTTTGCAGACTCTAGAAGATTTATTGCTCGAAGGGGTCGACCTTCTATAATATACTGTGACAATGGCTCTAATTTTACCGGCGCTGAAAATTTACTGAAGAAAAATCGATTGGAACGTTATTTCTCAATACAGTGGATCTCAAAGATTATTTGGAAATTAATCCTCCATCTGCACCATGGTGGGGTGGATGGTGGAACGTTTGATCGGAATTATAAAAGGAATTTTACGAAAGGTCTTAGGAAAAGTTCACTTAATTTAGAAGAGATGAACACCACTATCTGCACACAGAAAATATAATTAACCAGCGGCCTTTGACCCATAAGCCTTCAGATGACGTGAATGACTTGACTCACTTACCTCTTCCATGTTCTTGCATGACCCAAACAAGAAGGAATTCCAGATCTTGATATTTTTAGATTCATCATCGTTAAATAAAAGGCATGCTTACAGACAACGAGTGAAGCAAGACTTACGAAAAAGATTTCGCACAGAATATTTGGGCCACTTACGTCAGTCGTCGAAATTTGATAAAAATCAGAACCTCTCCAAATTGGTGATATTGTATTAGTTTCTAGTGACAATACCAAGAGGATTGAAATGGCCTCTCAGCTAAAGTTATGGCAGCACTCTATCCGTCCACAAGATGGAAGTATCAGACTGGTAAAAGTAAAATGAAAAGTGGAGAATTTTCTACGCCCTGTACTCCGGATTAATACCCCTGAAGTGACTCGTGCTGATCTCGGTAAACCCAGTAGACCGAATTTTTCCTTACGAATGAACCGACTGTCCAACTGACTGGTAAAGAGTGTTCTTCAGAGACTATTCCCTGATGGTTTCTGTGATGTCCAAAGGACTGTTAATGACTTTTCTTCAGAGACTGTTCCTGAGAAACGATCCCGATATGGACGATTAATAAACAGATAGTTAGGATTTGAGTTTCCTGGTTTGAAACTCAAAGGTGGGAGGATGTTGCGAAATGCGCAGAAACTCCCATCTGTATTTCCGCTTTGCGCAAAAGCCCGCACGGAATGAAATGTAGAGAAATTACGTCATGTTTTTTTTTCTCTCTGTTAACTGTTAACTGTTTGTTGTTCGGTGGGTTATGTGTTCTTCGTTTTGTCGCGTAGTCATTATAAAATCTGCATATATATATGTTTAAAATTAAAAATAGATGAGTGTATGTCAAGATTAGACTCTTCATTTGATTCATTGTGATTTATTATGCCTCCCCGAACGAAAAAGAAGATAAAAGTGATCCCGGATTTTTTATAAAAGAAGGTAAGCCCAATTTTGGGTTTTACCTCAAATGAATACCTATATTTAGGTATAATAATATTGCTTTGGGACACAATATGAGAGTACAATGATAGACATAATAATCGGTGTTGTTTTCCTAAAATGTTTTCACTTTGATGTATTAAAACATGGATAAATCCACTTCTAAATTATATATTTCAAAAATCCTAGTTCAGGCTCCTGTCTGAGCCATCAAAAAGGCAAAAAATATTATATAGAGGCATTTCATAAAAGGAGAATATTTTGCAAAAATAAATACCTAAGTGTTCTTTTAAGCCAAAATATCGCATTTAAATAATTTTTTATTATAATAATATTCTTAAGACAATTTTATACGTGTATTCTTATCTAAGTGACACTAAATTTTAAAAAAGTAATCGTTTGTACGCTTTTGCAAAATCACGTTTCCGAACGTAGTCGAATACCTTAAATTACCGTTTGAACGAATATTTGACAGTGCATGCCTTATACTGTCTATATTTAAAGATCTAAGGTAGGGTCTTCTTTTGCATAAGAGCCCAGGGCCTCAAAAAATCTTAAGATGTCACTGTCTATACTGCTATTGATTTGATCGACGTAAACATGCTGACAAATCTGTGGCAAAACTGATTTTTACCGATGGGACATTTTTTGCATAGTAGCGAAAGGTCGCCACATCAAACATTTGTAATAATGGTGTTCTTGACTGTTTCTCTTATCTTACCATCCAATATGTACTTTAATTTATTTCCTCCTGTAAATAACATGCAATAAATCATTCTTAGGGCCCAACTAATTTTGTGACACCAGTATATTAAAAATACATCAGACGACAAATAACTCGGAGCAAGAAATTCACATTTTCCCCTCTAGAACTAATAAAATAATACTTACAGTCGATTTGCACACTTTTCTAATACATCATAAAAAGATATAGAGGAATTGGTAAAGACTCTGGCAAACAAAATTCCTGCTAGAGATTTCTAAATTCTAAAAAGGACAAGATATTGAGATATTCATAAAAATTAAACCATAGTAATTTGTAATAAACAATGGCAGAAAAACTAAATTTTCAAACAATTTTACCCTTGGTATACTTCGACGTATAAAGAAGTAAAACAGTACTTCCCCATGGAAATCTCCTGCTTCAGTTTTGGCTTATCTGGAGGTGCATAAATCCTAAGACACATTGATCATAATTTCCAAGCCACTTTTAAATTTCCTTGTAAAATCCCACTTTCAGGTTTTCCAAAAGAATCTAACACTTAAATTAAAACAAGCAATGTAAAAAGAAATTATGTCAATTCCTAATTAGGTCAACAAGGAAAATTTTTATTTTAGTTGCTTTTAATTAAAAAATTGCAATTAATATAAATATGTTTACACATATGACATGATCACATTATTAGGCGGCAGAATAGATAACGATTTTCCTTGCAATTATCCATTTTCCTTTCTATATAGGGTGTTGGACTATTATTTTTGTTTGTTACTATTTATTCACTAAATAAATTTAATTATTCCAATAAAATAGTATAGTAAAAAGAAATCATATTCTCAGAAATTAGGCCATCCCAAGTGGGATTCAAATCCCACGACCTTTGGATTAGAAGTCCAACACGCTATCCATTGTGCTACAGGGACACGACAAGCGTTTTTCCTTTTTATATATAATGATGGATTATTATTTTTGTTTGATGCTGTTTATTCATTAATTAAATAGAATTAATGAATTTATATTTGAAAAAAACTGTATTAACATCAAGTGTCATCCACTATATATTTTAAAAAATGTTTTTGAACTTGAGTGGATGAATAAAAAGTATTTTGTTAACGATTGAAAATTCAAACAAGATATATACATATATATATAATACATATATAGCAGCAGCCAAATCAGGGCGCGCCCCTGGGGGCGCTGGATATCCCTTCAAGGGGGCGTTAGCATATCGAAAATAAAAAGGTTAAAAAAATTAATTTACTGGAATGAAAACAAAATACTTTCTGGATATAATAAAAAATACAGATCTACATTGATATGATTTATATATATCATCTGAGAAAAAAAAGGTCAACAAAAATAAAAGAAAATATTTTGTTTGCTTTTCTGTAATCCTACGATGAGAGAGATTTTTATTACGTTTCTTTTAATCTAAAATATTACTTTTGCTGACTTTCGAGCTTAGTGGTGGTGTTATCTACATCCCCTTTTAGGAAGTTGTAAATTATATAATTCTGTTGCGCTTTCTTCACAATGTGTGAAAGAGCTTTATGATACACGGATACATATTGAGCACTTTGAAGGATTAATTGGCTAAGATTTATTTTTATGAGTCTACTGAAACATATAATACAAAAATCGTTAATTCTGGGAAAAACTGTTTATTTGTTACCAATGACCTTGACAGAGAATCCTTCTAATATGACACACAGTCTTAATGGGAGCTAAAAGGAATTGATCACATATCTCCTTTTGGGAGTGGCAAACGTTTTTAGAATCTTAGATACTTGTTTAGACCGAGTTTCCGGCACGATCACTTTTTTCAAAAATATTTTCTTGAACATGCTTTATTTTCCCCTATGAATAACTTAGTGGTTTTAATTGTGATGTTGTATGACTGATTATGGTTTATAAAAATAAATGAGCAGAATATGAAAAAAGAATTGGACATCTGTGATCTCTCTGAAAGGAAATTGAAGTTGATCAAACAAGGGAAACACTTGCTGAAATAATGCATATTAATCATGTTAGCGAAAGTAAATTTGAGAAAAGCAATAAACATGAAACGAAAGGAAAATCTTTCAATAGCTACATTAAGAACTTTATCAAGAAAAATACGAAATATAAGTGTACCGCAAAATGCACTTCACCCCTGTCAAAAGACACAAGCAAGAAAAAGTTCAACAGGATATTTGTCGATCATCAAAGGACATTAAAATTACAATAACGTGAGCAAATGTGACAGTTTTGCTTGCAAATAACTTTCCTGTAATTTTAGCAAAAAGTAAGTCTGTGATTTGTGTCTTTTAATAAGGTCACGTACATTTGGAACAATTTAGTTCAGTTTTTATTGGATATTTTCTCAATTTATGAAAGACAAAACAGAAAATCCTTGAAATAGGTAAGTATATTTTCTTAGTTAAATTATTATTCACTGAAATTGTGATTTTATCTTGTATATTGAAAATACCATAAAAAAAAAAGAATTGGGTGCATCACTCCCTCGCGACCATTAACCTGATCCTGGCTAAAACATTTTGAAGTTTTCTCGCTTTAAATATTAAAAAATAACACAATTGTTATTCATTAGAATTTTTATTCTTTTTATTACTTAACATTTATTCTAAATGCTAATTCTATGAGGCCTTAAATTACAGTTCATTCAAAACCGTTTATAGCTATAGGCTCATTTCAATAAATCATTTTACATTTTTTGTATACATTGTCATGCACTTAGTTTACTCTCTTACAATTAATCTATTATATCAAGAATAATATATTATCATTTTTAAAAATAAACTCGTGTTATAAGAGTGGGTACTTCCAGCCATTATAAGAACAAGTTTAATAATTATCAGTGACTTATGTGGGCTTATGTCTTGCAGAGCAAAAGTTTTTCAAAGGAAGGCTAAAATTAGGAAATTGACACTCAGAGTTATTTTTGATATTTAACTCGGATCATATTTGTCTTCAAAATAGCCATCGCAGAAAATCCGGATTCACAAAGGTATGATGTTAATAAATTAAAAGTAAAAAAACTTTAAAACAGCTTATTTAAATGCTCTAAAAAAGAATAAAATAAACTTTTCTTTAAAATTTTTTTGCTATCAACTTATAAAATTGTTACACAATTTATGATATAAAAGCTTGTCGCGAGATTTACCTGTGTTGATAAACAAGCAAATTAAATAACTTGATCTTTAAATTTTTTAAATTTTCAATCTAAGTGAAAACAAGTACTTAAATCTCGCGACCAGCTTTATATCATAAATTGTGTAACGATTTTATAAGTTGGATAGCAAAAAATATTTTTAAAAAGAAAAGCTTATTTTATTCTTTTTAGAGCATTTAAATAAAAAGCTTGTTTTTAAAAAGTTTTTTTTCTTTAATTTATCAAATATTTAGCTGATATCTATATTTTTGTCTTCTAAGCAGCCACCACATTTTGCAATATGTTCCACTTAAAAATTAGAGAAAGGAAAAATAACATAATAATTATCCTATTACTTAATTTTTGTTTAAAAGTAACGTATACAAAAATTTAATACTTATGTTATTAATTTATACGATTTATAATTAAGATCGTGTATTGTGAAGCTTTAGCGTCAAAGTGCATTATTATTGCATTCAGTAATCTATTAATGTATAAGGGGGCGCGATAAAATTGTAGATTGAAAAGGGGGGCGCCAGTATTGCCAAGTTTGAGAAGCACTGATATATAGGAAGAGTGTGAACTAATAGTAGGAATTGAAAAAATAAAGGATTACGATATATCAAGAAGTAACATGACAAATCGTTTAAAATTATTTTTAGTTTGGGTACTTAAGTATTATACCACCAATCAATATCACCAATTCAATAAATATCACCAAACGCTTTCATCGATATTATTCTTTTGTTCGAACATCCGTGGGAATGATTTCTTGTATTGGCTGTATATCACAGTATTGGGAGATGTCTTTTCATTTGGCATGAGAATAATTACTTTTTTAAATTACATGTAGTGTTTAAGAATTAAAAACAAGTAATATAAAAAAAATAGTTTTTAACTCAATTCCTACTTAGCTCAACAACGAAAAATTTTATTTTAGCTACTTTTTATTAAATAGTTACAATTAATATAAATATGTAAATACATAGGACAGAATCACAACATTAAGTGGTAATTTGTTTTTAATTATCATTAAAGTATTGTATTGTCCTTTTAATTTCAGTCCAACTGAATGCTTTAACACGTGAGAAAAAAACCTTTTCACACAAGTTTTGACACAAATCGCCAAAAGGGTCGCTAAGTCGCCAACGTAGCTGTCTTTGTAATTCTTTAAATAATTATTTTTAATCAATTAAATTTTATTAATTATAATTAAATTATTGTATTGTCATCCAAAATGATCCTGTATATAAAATTTCAGCTAAATTCAGCGCTTTAAAATGTATTTTATTAACGATCGAAAATTCCACCAAGATAAATAAATAAATATACAAATATATAAATAAATAAATATATAGACAGTGCGAGTTAATAGTAGGAATTGAAAAATTGTGTGGTTTCTAAAGTACATTAAAATATATAGATAAATCTCTATTTAACTAATTTTCTACTTAAGGTATCCGACTACGTTCGGAACCGTGATTTTGCAAAAGCGTGTAAATGGATAATATTTATGATATTTAGTGTCACTTAGATTAGAATACATGCATAAAATTGTTTTAAAGACATTATGGTAAAAAGAAATTATTTAAATACAATATTTTGGCAAAAAGTTAACTTAGAATAACCTTTTTTCCAAATGTCCTCCTTTTGTAAAAAATACTTCTATTGTACTAATATTTTGCCTGTATATAGCTCAGACCTCTGTACAGAGGCTCAACTATGATGTTTGAAAAAATTCACATTATTTTCAGAGTTACAACCACTGGGGAAAAAATTATCGGCGTATTTTCTTAAAAAATTTTTCCCCTTTTGTTTTTTTAAACATGGATAAACATTCTCAAGTTATGCGTTTCAAAATTTCTAATGCAAATTAAGAACCTTTTAAAAAGCAGAAGTTTAGCGTAAGCGGGGTGGCCTTTTTGGAAGGGATTATGCTAGTCTGTATTTACGAGTGTTGAATTTAAAAGTGAGAGATTATCCAACATTCAAGAGTTCAGCTATTCGGGCCAGAGCGTTCAAGTCAAGATGTATACCATTCCACACGAGATAAACCACAACGTCATTTAGGATCCGAGTGAATTGCTGCTTACCTAGGATATAGAGGTAGGATTGTTCAATTTAATACTAGGAACTGTGTATTTACCGAGGTTAAGAATAGGGTGTACAGTTAGATATCGTGAT